ACAGTGACCAGTCCCTCACTGGGCACCCCATTCTGACATGCCAGGCGCGTGGAGCGTCACCGCCTCTTAGCCGAGTCATCCTCAGTTCTTTCCGCCCTCTGTCTCCATGGCCAGTCATCAGGCCCTGCCTGTCATACTGCCCAGTCACTGTGTCCCACAGCCTGACCTGCCTGTCACATTTGCAGGCCCCCAGGCTAGAGTACAATGGGGGCTCCCAGCCCTGGCCAACCCTTTCTCTCCCCACCCTCGAGTACCACCTGCACCACCAGGACAGATCTTGCTCACATGGYGGGAAGTTCCCACATGATCTGGAGGATGCTTGGGAAGAGAAGTCTGGGAGCCCACAAAACAAGATCAGAGTTTAGAAGTATGTCCTGGCTTTGGGTATCTGTCCCTCTGGCCCTGCAGAGGGGTGCCCAGGTCTCAGAGTCATGCAGAGCCCAGCTGGAGCCCACCCCTTATTAGGTGGCCCTGGGCATACTATGGATGAGACATCCCATAAAGAAAGACCTCGGGGATCTATGGAGACCCTTCAGAAATCCAGTAGAGGGCGCTGGAACCTCAGGCTTTCTCCTGACACAGCTCCTACAGGAGAACAAGATGCCTGGTCCTGAGCAGACAGGGGGGGACATTTAGTGCCTGTCAGTCTCCATGCGACTCTATTGTGTGGGTATAAACCTGTGATGGGCAGATTCATGATCCCCAAAGAAGTCTACATCCTCATCCCCAGAACCCGTGACCTCACAAAGCAGATGGGATTTTTGCATATGAGATTAAGGATTTGGAGATGGGGAGGTTATCCGGGATTATCCATCAAGCCTCCCAAAGGTCCTTAAAAGAGGAAGGCCAGCGAGTCCAAGTTGGAGAGATCTGACTTTGAAGACAGCAGGAGGGAAGTAGGAGCAAAGGAATGGGGGTGTTCTCCTAGAAGCTGGAAAGGTCAAGGAGATGGATTCTTCCTCCACAAGAAACACAGCTTGATTTTAGCACAGTGAGACCATATCCGATTTCTGACCTCCAGAACGGTAAGAGGATAAATTTGCATTTCACGCCATTATGTCAGTGGTAATTTCTTCCACCACCAACAGGAAATGCAGTTTTAAGTTTTCTAGTAGCCACCTTCAGAAAAGCAAAAAAAAAAAAAAAAAAAAAAAATTAACTTTGATATATTTTATTTAACCGATATGTTTAAAATCTTACTTCCATATTTACTCATGTTGACAATTCTTACTGAGATCTCCTGTCTGTTATGATTATGAGGTCTCTGACATCAGGCCTACATGGTACCCATAGCAATTGGTCCTCAGCACTGGTCAAGTGCTCAGTTCCTAGTGTGACCAGTGGCCACTGGATTAGGCAATGCAGGTCTACTAGGCTTTTCTCTTGAATGGAAGCAGAAAAGTGCTTTAGGAAATTCTGTCTAGCATCTGCAAGGGAGACAAGTCTCCCAGTGTCCTATTGAGCTTTCTGGAGCCTGTCACTCTCATGTCTGGGTGATGTCACCCACCAAGGTCCACCAAGGTACTGTTTGCAAATTGGTGACGTGAAAGCAGTCTCTGTTTGCAGAGCTTCCCCTGCCAGAGAGCAGTGTTGGGGTGCAGCCAGCAGAGCCCTGTCCTGGGTTTTGTCCAGTCAGAAAGGGRGAAGCCGCTCTCTCACTTCCCACTCGGTTCCCACCACCTTCCAGATGACGGCCAGAGGCAGACCCCTGGGGTGTTTCATCTTTTCTCATCTATAAAACACTGATGCAGGTACTCACCCAAGGGCTTGGTGTGTGGATAAAAACTAAGTAACACAGACATGCCACACACTGCGCCCCACAGAGAATGGATCGCCAATGATGGTTCTTTCCATCTAAGTTATCGAAGGAAGATGGAGTCCTCACAGTGCGATTGTGATCTCAATAAGGGATCACTTGGAAATGCTCGTAGCCCTTGATCCCCTTCCCACAGAAGAAACTTCAAGGAGTCAGTTCATTTCAGAGAGAAGCATCCAAAAATATGCAGATTCGAGGCTGCCATGCAAGAGGCTCCCGCCCTCCTGCCCTAGCATCATGATAGGCTTTTACTGGTGAGAAAAAGCTTTGTTTCCCTGGGCTCCATCCTATTAGAAAAACAGCTTAAAAATTGCTCCTAATCTCCCTGGAGTCTCCAGGTGCTTAATGACTTGCCACAGTGATAAACAACTGAATTCTGGGAGCCATTAAGGGAGACATTATCCACCTCTTTCCTTTGCCTTTGAGAATCAAATGAAGCTGCTTAGTCTGGGTGGAATTGGGGGAAAGCATTGGTTTTGAAGTCCAGCCARTCTACTTAGAACCACAGTTCTGTCCCCAATAGCAGGTTTGCTTCTATTTGGGGGGCAGTTTGCTTATATTTTTTTTTTGTTTAATATTGGTATACTTAGCTTACAAGATATTTTATGGATGTTATAGATAAGAATTATGTGTATAATTCTTCCAAGGTAAGAATGTTTTAAATACAAAAGGCATTTGTGACCTCTCAAATTTGTGGGGAGGAATCTGTGTGGCTTTGCCAGGTCCTTTGGCTCTTATAAGACTGCCATCAAGATGCCCGTGATCTCACTTAGAGATCTGACTGGAGCAGGCTCTGCCTACAAGCTTCTTTAGCAAGTTGGCAGGATTCAGTGCTTGGAGGATATGGAGCTGAATATCTCAGTTCCCCATTGGCTGGAGGCTGCCCTCCGTTCTTTGCCACAGGGGCCTCTCCATGGGGCAGCTCAGGACTTTGGCTGCTTACACCACAGGAATGAGGAAGGGAGAAGAGACCGCAGAATAGAAGACAGTCTCTTGCAGCCTGACCTTGGAAGGGAGATCTCCCTACTTTTTGCTGTGTTCTCTTGGTTAGAAGCAAGTCACTCTGTCCAGCCTGCCCTCAAAGAGAGGGGCTTACACATGGACATGGCAGGGAAGAGGTCACTAATAGCCACTTTAGAAAAATATCACCCACTGTTTATAGATTCTCAGTGAGTGCAGTTGGCCCCCTTCAACCACACATTTGGCATCCACAGGTTCAACCAACCTCTGATAAAAAATATTCAGGGAAAAAAGTTGTATGAACATATACATTGATTTTCTTGTTATTATTCCCTGAACAACTTTGATTTCTTGTTATTATTCCCTGAACAATACAGTAGAACTATTTACATAGCATTTACATTGTGTAATAAGTAATCTAGAGATGATTTAAAGGGAAAATGTGCATGGGTTTTATGCAAATACAGACTACACCATTTTATAGAAGGGGCTGGAACAGCCACAGATTTTGTTACCAATGGGGAGTTCTGGAACCATCTTCCACAGGTATTGAGGAACAATTATGGTAGCTTCACAGTAAATGTGAAGGCACTTCAGAAAGCTATGTCACCACAGATAAAGAATCTACTGGATTATGTATTAGGGTCAGACAATTGACAATCATATGAGACTGACTGTCTATAAAACAGGTTGATTCTAACCAATGCTAAGTTATTCAAAGACTGTATTTAAAGAGGCATTGAGTTTATATTAAATATTGATTTGATAACTTGTTACCAAATAATAATATTTGGCCACTAGTGGCCAAAGACACCTCTTTCCCCTACATTAGTTTTCATCATAGATCTGTGGCCCCTTCCTTGTTTAGAATAGCCATGTCTTTAAAGAAACATGTGAAAATGTACATGTAGGTTTTCTCATTTTGCAGTATTACAAAAGCATTTAATCCTGTGTGTTCTTGATGATTAGCTGTGTATATCTTTATATTCCTTAACAGCTCTGTAACATTTCTATTCAGTAGATAAATGAAAGAGCCACCGTTCACTTAGACACCGTCTTACTCTGTGATAAAAGTTGTTTCAGAGATTTGCCTTTAAAAGCAGTGCCATGATTGAGTAGCTTTTATGTGTTATTTCCCCCCATAAATTGAATTATGTCTTTAGAATGAAGTCCCAGAAAAGCAATTCAAATACAAACATTTTAATGGCTCTATCAAATTTGTATACAAATGAGTAGAAGGCTTGGGTTGCTTTTTTATATAAGCAAATTTGGCTCCATCAGCCACAGGCTGAGCTCCTCAAAATCAGCCACCATGTCTTACTTTTTATTTTTTTTTAATCACAGCATCTAGCCTAGAAGCAACGTTCACTGAATTTTTGCAGACAGAATGATTGAACAAAAAGATGTGAACGTGAGAGATTTTGAGAAAAATGTTTAGGCCAGATCCATTATGAATTTTCTTTTTTAAAATCAAGAAATGTTTTGTTTTCATGCACCCAAGCAGAGACCTGGGTTCCCTGGTGCCCTTTCCATATCTCATTGAACCCTCACAGCGCCTCCTACAGTTCGTTTTCTGCACAGCAACAGAATGAAATAAAACCATGGGTCTGTGCCCCACCCTTGCCTTTTCAGAGGGTCCCCTGGAGACATCCTTTGGTTTGACATCAGAAAGGAAACAGTGGGTCATCTTTTCTAGAAATACTCAGCCTGACTACTGGTTCTAAAAGGAACTCCTCCCAGGTGAAGGCAACATGGAATTGTCTTCTGAATGCAGTTCAGACCCAGATAATGGGTTTATTTAGCCCAAATTATAAATCTGAATTATATTAAGTAAACAGGGCTTAATCATACTCAAAAATACTTTTATTGCTCAATACTTAGTCGGACGAATTTGCCCTGCTATCCTGCATCATATAACTCTTGGCAGTCCGGAGAACATTCCCAGACCCTTTTGTAAAAGAAATTTTCATCTAATTATTTCAAAAGCGCCCACCTTTTGATTTTAGATGGAGGAGATTCTTGTAAAGGAAGACCAAATCGCGTGAATGACACAACCAGAAATTTACTTGCACCCCAGGGTCCAGGAGACGTCGCGGGTTCCACCACCGAGCTTGGACTGCAGCGCCCCCTGGTGGGAAGCTGTCGGTGTGACCGTCCAGGTCCCCTTTCACCTGGGCAACCTCTCACCTAACCAGGGCTTGTTTCTTCTTACCTTGTGTCTCAGGTGAAGGAGGCCATGCAGCGGATCCACGACCGAGGGAATATCGGGAAGTTGATTCTGGATGTGGAAAAGACCCCGACTCCACTGGTGAGTGTCGAAGGAAATCTTTCTACACAAGAGATGAACCCAGGGGCAGAAGGAGCACAGGCAGCTTGTGGGCTGGAAGGGGCTGGGTATCAGACACCCTCACAAATGGGGGCTCCTGGGCACCGAGATGGGGGCTAAGGAGGAAAGTCGAATGCCCCAGCAAGAGCAGGTCAAGAGCAAGCCAGGGCACAGACAGGAATGGAGAGGAAAAGCAGATCCCACCCCCCACCCCCTACCCCCACCCCTCCGTGAGCTCTCAAGAGGGGAGGATTCCAGGGATGTGGCCCAGGAATGTGGGAAACCCACATTCCTGGACCTGACAGGTTGATGTGTCCACCTCTGAGGTGTCCCCTCCTGAGCCTCAGAGCTGCATCAATCTTAAGAGAAAAAAAAAAACTAACATTCCACATTTTAGTCAAAGCGTGTATTTTTAAAAGCAATTTGGTCTTTACAACCATAATATAGTTGAGGTCTAATAACGATTATCACTGGATGAAGGTCAGTTTAATGAGAGGGCATTTTGTGATATTTCAGTGGCTGATAACAATATGGATAGCATTTTGCAAAATGCTAAGTCCCAAGGCTGTTTGAAGGTGAATGAGGGGATAAGGTTAGGAAAGAGGGGCTGGGATTCCGGGTCCCCTGTCCATGACACTGTGGCCTTTCAACCCAAGAACGAGTCTATTTCAGCACCATTGGTAGCAGGAGACAGGCCCCCGAGTGGTCAGGAACGGCTTATCGCTCTCAAGCAAGGTAGTTGGCACTGGCTGTCCCAGAGGCACCGCTTTCTATACCCCATGAGACTGGGTCCCAGCTGGCAGAAGCCCTGCTTCACCCCAGCTGGAGCTGAAAAGCTCACCTTTCAGACCAAGGGCTTGGGACCTGCACCCACATATGTCATGGTCCTTGTTTTTGAACCTCAGGCAGCTTTTACCCCTCAGCCCCAAAGAAATAGAGATGTGGAGAACGGGTATTGGAGTGTCTTGGGGTTTGGGAGGAGACCACAGTCCTTCCAGATAGAGGACTGGACTTTAAGGGGAGAGAGGGTGGCATCAGGCTCCACAGAGGGCATCCCGAGATCTGGGATGGGCCCAGCAAGGTCACTGCTAACGCATGCATCTGATAGAAAAGGAAGCTCACTCAGCAGGTACTGGTGATGGGGACAAGAGGCGCTTTCTCTACCTCTGGGCACGACTGCTCTCGAGGAAGCCCTACCTGCGTGGCTTCATCAGATGCTYGGGGAAGGTGAGGGGTGGGTCACAGAGCCCCCCTGACGGCCTCCATTGAATTACAGATGGCCAACGACAGCACAGAGACCAGCGAGGCGGGGGAAGAAGAGGAGGACCACGAGGGCGACAGTGAGAACAAGGAGCGGATGCCCTTTATCCAGTAGCCCAGGACCAGACAGGAGGATGTGAAGGACGGTTTGGAAGAAGAGGACCCGCTGCGAATCTCTTCTCCGCCCCAGTGAACACATGCTGTAGTCCCTGCGTGTCGTGTTCGTCTGCAGTCAGCTGAGCTAAGAAGCTGTTGATCGCTGTTGTTTTTTGGAATTAAGTGCCAAGCCCATTTCCATGCAGTATTATGTCCCTTCCCGATCTGTGTATCACACTCTCCCCTCTCCCTGGTATCCAAACCATCCATCTTCAGGTCCTTCTTGATGGTTCTAGAATAGCCTTGCCAATGCCCACCGGCCCGACACCTAAGAGACTAGATGTGRGCAAGGATGACGAGAAGACAAGTTTGGACTGAAAGGTATTGTCACAGAGAGCTGTCCGGGTCCTAGCACTCTTCGGGCCAATGAGACTCTTTGCCATGTCTCTGACCAGAGCACTCGCCAATTTGGCCGTGGGGGAAAGAAGGTAGGCCAGGAGAGATCGTCATGAGCCTATGAGTTTAAAAACTCTCCAAACAGTACTTTCTCCTCTCTCCCCTTTAAGAGGAAAGCTTCCCGACATCCATCCACTGTCTTCAGGCCATAGGTCCGAGCCACTCTCCTCTGACCTTCTGTCACTGGATCCTTTCATTGGTTCTCATTCATAAACACAGGGAGGCTGGTCTGAATTTTTCAGGATAGAAAAATGGGTTATCTTCTTGTACTTGAAGACCAGCCACAGAGATTTCTTCTTTGAGGCCACATCTCATGAGACAAAATGTCTATGGCTGTGGGGAGGCTTTAAGAAAACTCACCATGTGTAGGACTCATTCAATTGTCACCGAGATTCGACCGTGTTTGCATACTCGCCATCGGCATGACCAACTTTTCTCTTTTCCATTCCTGGTAGCAAGCCACCACCCTCCCCCAAGGAAGAGCTCCCTTGTAGACCATGTTTGCAAAACTCTTCTCTCTTGCCAAAGCACGTTCCAACAAGTGACAACTCTAGGGATGCAGAAGGTGGCTGTTCACTAGATGCTGCCAGATGTGCAGTTTCCTCCCCTCCAACACAACAGGGCCATGGTGCCATCCTGCAGGGCCCTGCTCCTCAGGAACCAGGGACCAAACTGCTTGATTGTATACCCTGTCCAGCTGCCAGCTCCTCAGCTCCTAAGAAACTCCACCCACTACCTGCCCATTTGACTGGGCTTGAGAGGTGAACACACGTACCCGGGAAGCGGCCTCCCCCTTCCCTTCTCCCAGGCCCAGTGATTCATCTGTCACTCACAAACCATGCTAGAAACACAAGGAGCCCAGGCAACTAGCTTTTGCTCTGGGGAAGACCTAAGGGGGCTCCCACATGCCCAGTTCTTCCACCAACAAGCTCGACAGTGGACCCACCTCTTCCCCCAGTGACAGGAATGGGTGCATTTCCACAGTTACCTGCTGAGTTTCCAGAGTTTCTTTGTAACACACGTCACCTCACTCATGGCGTTCTGTTTTTCCTAAGCTTGTGATGACTTGTTTATGCCAAATATTGATCTGAAAAGGGTCTCTCCTGGTGGTGAATGCATGTCAACTATGAGGACAGGAAAGGGGGTGGCCATCTGATAAGTCAAGGGACGAGAGTGTCCCGAGAGGGGACACTCGCGTCATCTTCTCTTCCTATCCCAGGACTCGGCAGTTGTCCAGTCTGGGGCCATCCTGAGAACGGGTGTTTACCTCTCTTAACTGGCCACTGTACTACTGGTCATGTTTCTCCCATAGCCAGGCTGAAAGGGGCTTCTAAGGGACCACTGTCCAGGTGGGATTCCTAGGAAGCAGGACAGAAATGGCATCTTCTAGGGCTGGAAGAGCTGGCCCTGAGAGGGCTGTCCTCCTCCGGGGGGAGGGAACCTGGCCTCCAGGCGTCCTTTGTTAYGTCCAAAAGAGAAGCATGAACGTCATCCTCCCCACATCTGTTCTTTTAGCCAGTGAAGTCAATCCAGCCTCCCTGTCGAACCCGTTGGTTCAAAGCCTCTCCTCTCGGGATACGGAGGGAGGCAGCTGGAGTTTGACCGACCGTGTCAGTTTCTGCTGTGAAGAATGGGGGAACATTTGCTGGTCCCATGGACTCCCATTTTAAGCTCCTCCTCCCCCGTGTCCTGGTCGTTTTTCTGAAGGAAGAGTGAAGAAGGTCTCGGTTTGCCTTAGAGGAACTGCGAAGGCTTCTCCCGAGTGAAGCGTGGTGGTGGGAGCGAACAGAAGCATCGTCTAATGTGTTTGTGGCTTTAGAGCTTTTGTTATATTGTGCCTACAAAGCAAATTATGTTTACATAAAAATACAAATAAAGTATTCAGCATAGCATAACCTCTTCTGGTATCATTTAATCCACAAACTATTTGGATGAGAGCCTCACTCTTATGACGGAAAGATGGGTAACATAAAATGAAAAAAAAAAAAAATCAGAAGGCAGCAGGACAGCCTTCAGTGAAAACGGAAGAGCCCACAGGGAAAGTGGGGTCTGAACTGAGACAAGCCTTTGAAAAGCCTTTTCGATTTAGTGTAAGTATAGGAACCAATGCATATGCTAATTAGTTTGATTTAGCCATACACCAAACATCCTGATGTATGTGATGAACATATTAGATTAAAAAATTTTTAAAACAATGAACAAAACAGACTTTCTGGTTCCCTCAAGGCAAGAAAGTAAAACCACTTGAAAAAAGAAGCATTAAAAACAAAAACACTTTTTCCAAACAAAAATTCCTATGTAAACAAAACCAGTGTATATTAAATTACATGATGATGATAGTTTTAAAACACTTAACAAAGAGGTGATGTTAAAAAAAAACCATGAATGGATGATGGTGATGATAAAGATATGACTGATAATAAAATGTCACAGTAATTACCATCACAAACATTTATTAGGCACCCACTGTATGCTGCTGGAGGAGCTGTGTGTGCATCTATTCATTTACCCTCCCAACAGGGCTGAGAGTCGAGGTATGTCATCGCATCCACATACAGAGGACAAGACTGAAGCTTGGGACCCAGGATTTCCCAAATTCAAGCCACACCTTTGCCAGCAGAATTCACGCTCTTAACCCCACACCTCGTTGCCCTGCCTTTTAAATAAGGGTAAAATACAATGCACTTCAAATTGCCATGACTTGCTCACTAGGAATTCTCCGGGGAGTCTGTTTCCCTATTTCAAGGTTATTCTTCCATTTGTTTTGCTTTATAGCAACTAATATCTGTCGAGAAGCTTCTTTTTTTTTTTTTCTGGCCCTCTGTCCAAGTGTCTGTGACACATCTCAACAATTTCCATTTTCATGATCTACAATTCTCAAGGTTATCAAAGAGAAACAGAGGTGTCCATTTCCAAGGGCTAGAACCTCACGAAAGAGGAATCCATCATCCAGGAGGCTGTACTGCGTTTTACCCTATTTCTCTGCAGGCAGCCACACGTATAAATCTGCATTTTCAAACCAGAATAGGGAGTGACACTGTCGGTGAAATTCTTAAAGTCACTGTACTAAAGATGTCCTCATATATTCTTTCTCAGTGCCCGTGTTCTCTGTATAAATCTCTTGGCTGCACAGAGCCGATACTGGTGCACTGCCACATTTAAACACAGCCCAGAAATGAACCTGGAATAGAAATTGCAATCTCTGAGCTTGGGAAGGAGGCCTGCTGGCAGTTGGAAGCCTTTTTTTTTTTTTTTTTTTTTTTTAAAGCAGTTGGGGGCGAGGTTAGGTAGTAATGGAGGGCAGCATTTCCAAAGCCATTTGGGGCACAGGGGAACATTTGTGAAGAGCAAGAGGTGAGCATTTTGGAGGGCATATGTAAGGAACGAAGAGAACAAGAATCCCAAAATCTTGAGGATGGAGTGCAGTTGGGGAGTCTCTTTTCGGAAGTTGGCACCCAGGTCTGAGGGTCTTGGGGGCCAAGCAGATAATCTTGGGCTTCCAGGGAAGGAATAAGGGTGTGCAGAAGCATGACATGAAGCCCTGGAGCGTGAGGGCAATTAGTTTAAACTCAGGGTTTAGTGGGAGGAGGGAGCAATGCCCCAGCTGCCCTTCCCCTGGCGTGGGTCTTCCAGAACCAGACATGGCCACAGAGACACGGAGGTAAATAGTGTTGGGAGGTGAACCCGAGAAGCATAGGCCAAGAGTGGGAATGAGCCCGTCAGGGGTCTCCAGAAAAGCTCTCCAGCACAGGACACTGCGTGATACCCAGATTTGTCCCTCTGAAGGTAAGGAAGCTGCTGTGCTGGCCCAGTTCCCACACGACAGATGACTGCCCCCAACAAGGTGCTGACGCTTTGCCACTCCAGTCTTGCCTCTTGGATTTTGCAGTGGCCACACAATGGCTGCAGATAGAGGCACATGGGAGGGTGAGGGGACATGGAAGCAATGTTCAGAGCACTTGTAACTTGTCTGGGGAACTCCTTCTTTAACATCAAGGGGGAAGCTCTTGAGGATTTCTATCAACTACACTCCAGCCTTCGTAACAACTGCCCCACTGCCCACTCGGCTGTCCCACTAGCACAGGCCACCCCCTTCCTGATTTGGGTTCTGTTCCTTGGTCTCTTACATACAGCTCATTTTCAATTTACTGGACACAGGACCCTATTCCGAGTCCTAGAAATGGAAAAGAAAATAAGACATAGCCCGTCCCTTAAGAAATTCTGCAGTCCAGAGCCCCGCTATCTGATAGAAATATAACGTGGGCCACATACAAATTGTCAGTCGTTTCCGTCATCACATTAGTGGTGACATGTAAACAGAGACCAACTTAGTTTTAATAGGTCTTATTTAATACAGTACATAAAGAATGTTACTTTGACATGTAGTCAACAAAGATAATGAGACAGTTTACATTCTTTCATTTGCCAACTCTCAGGTGTGCACTTTATATTTACAACCCTGCTCGATCTGGATTAAACACATTTCAAATGCTCAACAGCAACCGTGACTGGGGCTACCATTTGGACAGGCAAGGTCTAGAGGAAGGACAGAAATAGACCCCAAGGCTTATTTATATTTAATGACATTATATTTAATGTCAAGGATACAATGTTAGGGACGAAAAATAGGGAGGGTTCAGCCCCATGAAGGAAGGGATGGAGAGGAAGTCCTCATGGTGCAGGTGATGCTGAGGGAAACTTGGAAGAGGTTCTTCTGCACCCATCCTAGTGTCTGGCATGTGGTGAGCCCTCAAGAATCATGAGCTCCTTTCCCTGCTCCCGAGGGCCAGTGCTTGGGAGAATGAGATGCTTGGAAAATGCTCAGTAGCTTCTTCCTCCTGCTCCTGTT